CCAAATAATTATAATGAATTGACACAATTTCAAGTCACTCATTTTATATTGAGCTGGTGTATGTGTGTGTGTGTGTGTGTGTGTGTGTGTGTGTGTGTGTGTGTGTGTGTGTGTGTGTGTGTGTGTGTGGCCTCTGTGTTAATGGGCGCGATCTCATTTTGATGTCTTTGTGCTACTTTCGGCTGCCTTTCACCGGCAATGTATTATACATTTTATCAACGTGTGCATATGTGGGATGTTAAAGTATAATTCAATATTAGATGGAGGATGTTGAACATTGCGTCTCCGCGTCAGCCCAATACACCAGGGTAGAAATTTATGTAGCGCGGGTGTGTCCAATAATGTAACAAAGTTGTAAGACAATTCTGTTATTTGCCCTATTTCCCAAACTACGTCTTATCCTTCCATCGCCTAATATTCGTATGCCATTATAGCAGCTTTTCTTTATAAGTAAGGCTCCTTCTACCCTTCTTCTTCCTCCTCCTCCTCCTCTTCTTCTTCTTCTTCTTCTTCTTCTTCTTCTTCTTCTTCTTCTTCTTCTTCTTCTTCTTCTTCTTCTTCTTCTACTACTGCCGCTGCCGTTGTTGCTGCTGCTAAAGCTGCTTCTTCTTCAACTTCGCCCTGATCATCATTATCATCAATCCAACATCATGGATGGAATACAGTCCAGCACCTATGGCTTCTCTCACCAATGTTCGTTTGGGCGTCCTCCCCTCCCTTCCCCCCCAAACCAACCCTTTATTTCCCGTTTTAGTGCCTGTTTGGTGATTCTCTGCACGTTTCTCCTCAGGATGAGTCTTATAACTGTCTATACTAGTGGCGGCATTTTCGTAGGTTAAACCGAGCCTAAGTAAAAACTTGCACCGGAAGGAATGAATGGATCAAGAGTTAACACCCCTGCTGTCGGGACACACCCGCTCCGTCTCCTTCGTCTGTAGCCAACGATATGGCTACATATATGATACATGCTAATGATGCTAGCTGAAACCTTGGAGGGATAGAGGTAACTGGGAAATTAAAACTCAGAAGCGTGTCTTAAATGCTACATTTCTCTAAGAGTTTTATTAACAGCTTTCCCTTTTCAGCTTAACGCTATTTTCTTTGTGTGTGTGTGTGTGTGCGCGCGCGCGCACGCGCGCGAGCGGAAGAAGCAATTTGTTTGGCTGTCTGGACTATAACTAAGTTATACAATATGCATTTTTTTAAAGAATACGAAACATAGATATGTTAATGTTTTTTAGTGATTCAATAACCCCCCCCCCCCCCCCCCGCCCCCTCTCCCCCTCCCCGTAACTGTAAACTTTATTTTGTTCTTTCTCTACATTCACCACCGTGCCGTGTTGATTTTTTTTTCTTTTTAACTGTTTCGGTTGTGCATTACTATTAGAAGCCCAGACACATTAATACGCAACAGAAGCTGTACAGCTAAAATATTTACATTAGCACCGATTACAGAAAGAACAAGACAGTATTAAAAGAACAGCAAAGTTGCATTTACCAACCAGGAGACAGCTTTTGTCAACGTAGATATGTGCTGGACTAATACGGAATTAGCATAAATATAGTCGAAGTTTTAAACAGTTTATACACATTAGATACATTTTGCAAAAGAACTACACGAGTGAGTGAATTTCCACCCCACCCCCACCAGGACCGCACAACGAGCAATAAAACACCCAGTGACGCAAGGTACCACCATTCGGATGAGAATCACCCGGGCACATATCCCAGAAACCCCTGTCTGGTTATATTATGGCCCTAAACGACAGCCGCCGTGAAGCTTTCAAATATAAAAAAAAAATTGCATCCCATTATGGGGTTCAGTTTTGAACAAATTTTCAGAAAACATAGGTAAGGTAGGTAAGTTGGCCCCGCCAGGACATCACACAAGCGATAAACACCTGGTGACACAAAGTGCCACTATGCGGATGAGGATCACCCGTGGAGGGGTCCCTGAAACCCCCGTTCAGCCGTTAGGCCAAATTTAAGGCCCGGTTATGTTTCGGGCCCCAGCATAAGCTAGGGTGGGGCTTCACGAAAACAAACCGGTACGTCTTAAAACTGTTAAAGTTAATTTAGGAATAAAACAACGCAAATGCAACACTACATTCCTGTCCGTCTTTATAAATAAAGAAAGCAAAACAAACAAATCAAACAACCGACAACATTTTTGACAATTGTAATCTTTTCACAGTGAGATTTCGACACCTGATCTTGTTACGTAACTAATTTCTGCCCTGAAAGACAATGAACTTGGTATCAGTTCGACTGAGCCCTTCCCATTTATGCCATGGCTGTTTATTGTGACAGACACGAGCGTCGGAACATAATCAGCAACGTTACGTGACGCGACAAAGTACGCACAAACAACCAAATCAGCAACAAAATCATAACGCAGT